GCGGTGGACCTGGCAGCTGTGTCCGCAGCATCGAGGGCAGCCTGCAGTGCCGTGTGGAAAATAATCTGCCCTTCAGAGATTACTGCTTTGAATTGTTGTCTCTTGTCCTCTGGGATGTCATTAATAAAATCCATGAGTTTCCCGTAATTTCTGTGATTGTATTTGGCCAGTAGGGCTGCATAGTTTGCCACTCCAAATTGTAGCATGGATGATTCATAAACTTTGCGGCCAAGTAGGTCCATTCTTTTGCTGTCCTTATCAGAGGGAGTGGACCAGAAACGCTGCTGTTTGTTCTTTTGGTTGGCTGCTTCTACTACCAGTGAATTTGGTGCTGGGTGCGTGAAAAGGAATTCTGAACCCCTGGAGGGGACATAGCATTTTCGGTCTGCCCTTTTGCCGGTAGGGGGTATGGTGGCTGGGGCTTGTCAGATATTCTTGGCAGGGTCCATAATGGCTCCATTAATAGGTAGAGCGATCTTGGAGGAGGTTCAAGGTTGTAATAGGTCAGTCAGCTCATGCTGAGTCTCCAACACCTCCTCCAGAGTGATCCTGAGCTCATTAGCCACTCTTTTGAAGAGGTCCTGAAAATAAGTAAAATCATCAGCTGTTGTTGGGGGTGGGGACATAATAGCCTCATCCAGTGAGGAGGATGAACTATTATTATTTGGAGAGGTTTCAGGTGCCTCCTTGTCTGCGTGCACCGCTGCAGGTTGCTCCCGTGCATCCGTCGCAGAAGCGTGCACAGGTACAGGAGGAGATCTAGTGTCGCCTCTGCATGGGCTGTGCCAGCTACTGTGGTGCCTGCTGTAGGACCCCACGGGTTCCAGTAGTAATGCTTATCTGACTAAAAAACTAGGTAAAATGTATAAACATCTATCTAAAGCAAAAAAATAATTGAGCAAGACTGCTGAGCTCCATCTCAGGCCAGGACAGTAGAGAAGGAATTGAGGAGCCTGGGCTGCGTGCTATTGAGGCACAGTCGGCGCGTAGGGCAGGCACCGCGTGTGCACGGCCCGTGCAAGTACTGCTGTAAAAATCTCCGAGTGAAGGTGCACCAACACCTGGAGCGTAGCACCCACAGGAACATCTCTCGAAGAAAAAGAAGAACGTAGGCCATATTTACAGGATGAGCGACTCTATGCTGGGAAGCAGACACTCAAAGAGATTTAGAGGTTGGGGTGGACAATCACCCGAACGAGTTCCCAGTCTGACGCTGTGGCCAAAAGAACTAAAATGATCCTGGGATGCATAAACAGGGGAATCTCGAATAGGAGTAGAGAGGTTATTTTACCTCTCCACACTTGGCACTGGTGAGACCATTGCTGGAATACTACATCCAGTTCTGGTGCTCACAATTCAAGGAGGATGTAGATAAATTGGAGAGAGTTGAGAAAAGAGCCACAAGAATGACAAAGGATTAGAAACATGCCTTATAGTGATAAGCTCACTGGATTGAGCTTCTTGAGTCCAACAAAGAGAAGGTTAAGGGGTGACTTGATTAAAGTCCTGAAATACCTACATGGGAAACAGAAATTTGATAACGGGCTCTTCAGACTAGCAGAGAGGCATAACACAATTTAATGGCTGGAAATGGAAGCTAGACAAATTCAGACTGAATATAAGCTTTAAATTTAACGGTGAGAGGAATTCACCACTGGAACAATTTACCAAGGTCATGGTGGATTCTCCATCACTGAATTATTAAATCAAGACTGGCTGTTGTTCTAAAAGATAACCTCTAAGAATTATTTTGGATGTCAGACTAGATGTTCACAATGGTTCCTTCTGGCCTTGAAATCTATGAATTTTTTTTTCAAACTAGAAAATCTAAGACTGCTTCTTCTATTACTTTAAGTTTTGCAGAGGCTGGCTGATCCTGAAAGAGTTTCAAGTGTTTCCATCAGAAACCTTGTATTGGAGCTCTTCAAAACAAGAGATTTTATTTTTAAAAAAATCAGAGACCTTGATTTTTTTCAAAAATTATGGACTGTTTAGTTGTTAGTAGTGGGATGAGATTTATTACTTCTATGACTACTACTGACTTCCTTTGGGGGCTTTTGGCAAGTCACAACCTCATTGTCCCTCGATTTCTACCATCTGTAAAGCAGAAGTACTACTATATAACATCACCCTAGGATGCTGAAAGGCTTAGATTAAAATGGTTTAAAATGCTTAGATGGTAGGAAGTTCCACAGGACTGACAAAGAAAATGTGGTGACAATATTTTTAAAAAGGTAAATGGGATGACCCAGGCAATAATAGGTTTTTCAGCATGACACTGACCTTTGTCAAACTAACAGAAAGGATAATAAAAAAATTAATAGTTAATAACAGAATTAAAAAAGAAAAAAAAGGAGGCTAATATAATACCAATCATCGGAGGTTTATGGAAAATAGATTGTGTAACTTGATATGTTTTTGATGAGATTAAAAGTTTGATAAAGATAATAGTATCGATCTAATATAGACTTCTGTAAGGCATTTGACTTGGTACTGCATGATATTTTGGTTAAAAACTAGAATGACTCAAAATAAACATTAGCACAAAGTAAATGGATTAAAAACTGGCTATCAGGTCTCAAAATTTTGAACAGGGAATCATCAGTAATTGGGTGTCCTGAAAGGACTGGTTCTTGGCCTTATGCTATTTAACATTTTTTCCCAGTGAACTAGAATTAAAAGCCATGCCTGATAAAGTTGCCAGATGATGAAGATGGGGGGAAGTGGCAAATAACAGAGGACAGGTCACTCACATAGAGCAATCTGGATCACTTGGTAAACTGGGCATAAGCAAACAATGTGCATTTCAATACAGCCAAATGTAAGGTCATACATCTAGAAATAAAGAATGCAAGCCATCCTTAAAGGATGAGGGACTCTATCTTGGGAAACAGCAACTTTGAAATGGACTTGAGAGTCATGGCAGATAGTCACCTAAACATGAGTTCCCAGTGCAACGCTGTGGCCAAGAGGGCTAATGTGATTCATTGATGAACAAACAAGGGAATACTGAATAGGAATAAGTTACTGCTACTGTATTTGGCACTGGTGTTAGCACTGCTGGAATACTGTGTCCAGTTATGGTGTCCACAATTCAAGAAAGATGTTGAAAAATGGGTAAGGGTTCAGAGAAGAGCCACAATAATGATTAACGGATTGGAAAAACATATTTTATTGAAAAAACTTAAGGGGCTCAATCTATCTAGCTTATCAAACAGAAGGTTGAAGAGTAACTTGATCACAGTCTCTAAATACCTACATAGGGAACAGAAATTTGACACTGAAAGGATCTTCCATCTAGTAGACAAGGCATAACAAGATCCAATGGATGCAGGTTGACAGTGAATAGGTTTAGATTGGAAATAAGGTACAATTTAAAAAAAAAAAAAAAAAAAATCAGTGGGGGGCAATTAGCTATTGGATTTTACCAAGGGCTGTGCAGGATTCTCCATCTCTGGAAACTTAGATCAAGATAGGATGTTTTTCTAGAACATATGTTCTAATTCAAACAGGAGTTAATTCAAGGGGGTCTTACGGTCTGTGTTACACAGATAGTCAGATTTGATTATCACAAATATTCCTTCTGTTTTATAATCTAACAACGAACATGAAGCTCCAAATGAAGATTTAAATAATGAAGATTGTGCTATATATGCACACTATAATATATGGAGATATACCTATCTCATAGAACTGGAAGGGACCTTTAAAGGTCATCGAGTCCAGTCCCCTGCCCACACTAGCAGGACCAAGTACTGTCCCTAACCGTTTCCCCCGCCGCCGCCGATTCCTAAATGGCTCCCTCAAGGATTGAACTGACAACCCTATGTTTAGCAGGCCAATGCTCAAACCACTGAGCTATCCCTCCCCCCATACATAGTGAATAAACAGTTGGTATGAAGGTTGTTCCCATTCTCCCTATTGTTCCCCGTATCCCAAAACATCCAGACTATCAGATGTAGGATATGCAGCTCTGTGTCTTTTCAAAACACATGCAGCCAGGAACCAATGGACAAGAACACCAGGATTGAAGTATGAGCTCCACTGCACAGAACCCTGCTGAGCAGTTGCTAATAGCCCTCTGATTAATGTCTACTAGCTTTACTGAATTTCTACCTCACTAGACTTGGCCATCCCTCACCATGACATTTACCTTCACTCCTTTCCCATCTCAATTACATCTTCCCCTCTTTGCTCAAAACAACTCTATTTTTACTCTTCCCATTCTCACATCAGAATACATAAAACTTCTGCTGGAGTCAGGGAGGGCTGACTTCTGATCTGCAATTTCCTTTCATCCAAATCCTGCACTTCTGCTGACTTCAGTTTTCATGTTGAGGATTTCAGCAACTCTACTCTCATTTCCTTATTCAATTCTTGGCTAGATCAATTTACTTAATCACTGCCCTGGCCGTTCTTAACCTTGTCTTCACCAGGCAATGCTCCTCCTCAAATATTACTCATCTACTATATTCAGATTACTACTTTTTCCTTATTTAGTACTGTACACTTTCCCCCTCTCAGTCTCATTCCTTCCATAACCTACAATCCACTGATATTAAAGACTTCTTTGCTCCTCTTAGCCACCTCCTTCCCTCCTTAACTTAAGTGCACCTTACCTCCATATCCTCCTCCCCTTCACTGACACTATGATCACCATCATCCTCTCCTCCATAATCCTCTTACTCCTTTCCCTCCACTCAGTTCATTCCACTAATTCCCCAAACCCTGGGTCAACTTTCACATCTGCTTCTCCCTTTCTCCCCGAATGCTGCAGAGTACATCTTGCAAAACCTAACGACCACGAGGATGACATAGCTAGATGTCCAACACCCATGCAACAAATATGCTATAGGCTAATCATGATTTAGCATTATCTACTCTAGCAGCTGAACAGTCTACAACCATGGTTAAAGGGTACAGACAGATCTGTTCAAGACCACCATTATCAAAAGCAGGACAGTTTCCTAGGCAGACAGGAACCCAGCTACATTACTTACCAAAGGCACTGAAAAGCTGGTAAAGATCACTAGTCTTCCACTCTTTGGGAAATGTAACATGAAGAACATGGTCTCGTTTTGGCTGCACTGCAAGATAAGAATGCATTTAATAATGCTATCAGGTATTCATATTTTGTTTGAATTGTTCAGTGTATCAGAAAAAACTAAAATGTATACTCAAACTGTTAGAGTTGGCAACTACTCATTACAGAAAACTGGTGCATTTACAATTACTGTAATTATGCATGAAAATTACTACTTAAATCAAACTGGCCCATTTGTATATGCATTTGAAGCAACTGTGCATGAAGCAGTAACTGCTCACAAATTGCGTACGTGCCTTTTTTGCCCAGCGTTGCTCATATGTAATCATGAAAATCCAGTCTCTTACATCTCTTTTGCACCAAGTTCAAGGAAACAAAACTTACTGTAAAACAGTTCTTAATTATGTTTTCACACAGTACCAAATACAAATTAGAATATAAAACAATCATCCTCAGTTAACCAGTTTAAACCAGGAATGTGAAGTTGAGTGCAATTCCCACCACTGCTAAACTGTGCTAAGGAAACAGCTTAGCATTTCTAGTATACTCTCCAGGAGTATCTTACTAAAAATTCCTATTAAGAATTCCTTATAAATCTGGGATTTTTTTTTTAAAAGAAGAATGAGTACCTTAATTTAAAAATTCAACTTCGTTTTAGTCTGTACAGTACAGAAACCTATTTTGCAATGTACAGGCCGTTTCATATTTTAAGTTTTTGCTCTGTCAACTTTCAAAACTGCTGGTTATACAAGTGTAATTTTAATCTTAAAAAGAAATTTTTAATCTTAAAAAGCACTAATAAAGGGGTCGGCAACGTTCGGCACGCGGCTCGCCAGGGTAAGCACCCTAGCGGGCCGGGCCAGTTTATTTACCTGCTGACGCGGCAGGTTCGGCCGATCGCGGCCCCCACTGGCCGTGGTTCGCCATCGCGGGCCAATGGGGGTGGCGGGAAGCCGCGGACAACACATCCCTTGGCCCGTGCCGCTTCCCACCGCCCCCATTGGCCCGGGACGGGGAACCACGGCCAGTGGGGGCAGCGATCGGCCGAACCTGCCGCATCAGCAGGTAAATAAACTGGCCCGGCCCGCTAGGGTGCTTACCCTGGTGAGCTGCGTGCCGAACGTTGCCAACCCCTGCACTAATAGATTGCTTGGTAGCTTTTGATCATTTTGGCTCCCTGTACATTGAATCCTGTACAATGTAAGCCTTTCTGACAACTTTACTTGACTTCAGATTAGAGTTTAGAAATTGAAAAGCCTTCTATTTTAGGTATTATTTTCTAGTTTGTATGGCTCTGAATAGTAATTTTCATATTTAAAAAGATGGCCTCAGAAGTCTTATGCAAAACTCTTTCTACAAGGACAAGTAATGCTAAGTGCACTGATTTCACAGTGTCCTCTGTTGGGCCCTAGCTGCTCCACCTACCATTACTAGCTAGTATAAGGTATTACATTCTAGTGCACTCCAGCCCTCCACCACATGAAGTGACTGCTCTGTCTAATGCTGGAGAGTACACCTATCTTGACAATGTAACCTTCCCTTAGTAGTTCAGTGCTAATGGAACCTACAGATCCATATAACAAGCAAGTCTTAACCTGGAGTGAAAGGAACAGGCTTAAGCACAAAGTATCAATATATGGGCATTAGTGATAAATACAGGTTTGAAATATGAATGTTGAGGTATATCAAAAAAATATGTACATCTAACTAGTTCACATCAAACAGCTTCTCTCCTCCATGATAAGGCAATTATATACTGATTTAAGATGAGTGGGATTTACAGGCAACACTGGATAGTGACAATAGAAACCCCTCCACATTTTATATTGCCTGTATCTTGGTTATTTCTTTTTCTATAATTTTGTAACTAAGATTGCTATCAAAACTCACAGTTAGCACCTTTAAACTGATCATGAATTTAAATCTAGTAGCATACATACCAGTATAGATCAAGGACTTGAGTCTCTTCTCATTTGCACTTGCTTATTATATTGGGTGAAATCCCAGACTCAGAGTCCATGGCAAAACTCCCTGATTTCTGGGGGTGGGGTATTCGCCTCTCAGTGGAGTTACAATTGATTTATGCTGGATAATTAGACTGTTACTTTGAACACCAAAAATGAACAGTGTGTTTAGTGCTTTGTGTCATAAGTAGTGTCAGCAATTTCAATTTGTGGCATACTCATCTTAGCCTAATATTTGTATGAAAAGAGGAACTTTGTTTTAAAGACACCTACCCTGCTGCTCTCCCTCAATTCAATCAGCTCTGTATACAAAAATCCATCATTTCTATGGAAGCCACTTAGATGATGATAGCTTCCGGTGGGACATAAATGGAGTAATTCAGCCTTTCAGAATAGGATTTTAATATTTATAGAAATGTAATTGATAATAAAAAAATGCACTCCAATGAAGTTTGTTAAAAAAAATATATTTAATTTAAGCCCTCCATTATGTGTTAGTATCTTGGAAACCAAATCAATAGATCAAAGATCACCAGACAAAAAAGGGAATTTGAATTAAATACAGTTATGCTAAAGCTGCAGGGGAAGCCAGATGATATAAAAAATTATGACAAGTGTAACTCTACTATAAGGAAAAGCACAAAATTGTACACTAAGAAATTTTAGTGCTGAAAATAGCCACACCTAAAGTACAGTACAAACTAGAGCTAAGGCACAAAAATTCAAATTTCATAAACTAGTTTAAGGAAGATCTATTTCTTGTTGTGAAATAGAGTTGATGGTGAATATTTTGAAGGGTTTTATTTAATCTTTGCAACTCAATTAGTCTAGCATTAGAACTCTAAATTTCCCAGTTCAAGATAAAGGTTTGAATAGCATCTGTTTCCAAATTAGACAGAATAAACTGTTTATGGTCCTTAATAAATGAACCTTACCACATTTTCTTTTTATTCTTAAATTTTACCCCCTATATTGTAACGTCCTTCTGATGAACACCAATGCCTAGTCAGGATAGGAAAGTTTCAGTCATTTCACCAGCAACCATTGTTTTATACAGTGTTCTTAATACAAAAGTAATCAATTTTAACTGCTGTGAAAGCCTCTTCATATTCATCACTTCTTGAGATTGAGGATGGGTTATTGAATTCCTCTACACTATAACTTTTACAGCATTAGGATAGCTGAAATATATTTGCTCTATAATTTGGCATAAAGGTAACATCTGTCACAGTTGCAGAACTAGCCACATCTCTGGACTCTACGTGCACCCCCTTCAGATATGAGGCCTTGTGCTTTTATTTCTGTTGAGTGGAATCATAGGATTCTTCCACTCCTACGATAGGTCCTGGGCCAGATCATCCCATTGATCAACTGTGCTTACCCAGCAGGCCCAAGTGGTTTAGGCACCTGCAAGTCTTCCCTTCGGGAGCCTGAGACCAATGGATAATACAGGAGACCAAACAGCTTTCGCAAACCAAAGTATTGTTAAATCTTAGTAGGAACAAAGCATGTCTACCCACCTAAGGTTACCATACCATGGAAGTTTAAGGCCTAACTACTTCACATCCTCCAGCAGTCAGTTTGTTTCCCCTGAACAGCTCCCTAACAACTGCCTCCCCCTCTCTAAAGTGAATTTTTAATCATTTAAGGTGTGTCTACACAGCAGCTGGCTGATTCCCAGCGCAAGTGGACATACACATACTAGCTCTATTTGAGCTAGAGTACTAAAAATGGCATTGTGGCTATGGCAGTCAAGCTAGTCGCCCGAGTGCAATCCCACCTGATGTCCTGGGTAAGTACTTGGGTGGCTAGCCCAAGCCATTACTTGTGGCATCGCAGCCACGCTGCTCTTTTTAATGTGCAAGCTTGAGCAGAGCTAGAATGTGTATATTTACTCCCTTTGGGAATCACAACTCCCAGCTGCTGTGTAGACACTCTCTTAGGGTCCTTTTGATCTTTTTGGCAGTCAGACTGAGTTTTGTAATTTTGCTAGCACCTAGCAGTACCAACTTCACAGCTTAGTAGCTCAGGCATTGTCTCTTAATGATCCTAAAAATGTTTACATTGAGGTTGCTTATTTCCCATCTGCCTACTATTAAACTAAACCAACATATGCATATTGGTTACAGTATGGCTTTATTGGTATAATCATATTGGTATGATTATACCAATAAAGCCATACTGTAACTATCCCAATAACTAGGTTACAACCTTCTCAAATTAAATTTCTCTCTGAAGTACTTATTTGCCTCCAATCAGTGAATTTAATGAAGCTACCATCAAAAGGTTATAGTTACAAAAGGCTATTTTTAGTCAGAATTATTCAATGTACAGAAAAAAAAAATCTTTAAAAAAGGAGGATAAATGGCTATTATCAGGAAGTTTTATTTTGAGGACAAAAGCAAATGTTCCTCTTGAGTGATATGTTTCAAAGTCACTGAGATTTTTTTTTCTCCTAAAAAAACAAAAAATGATGTGGGTATTGATATATCAACCTTTCCTATGTTAAAATGTTATTAAAAATTCTAGTCTTGACATGAAATTAGTCTTTTACCACTCTTTTATTGTGGATTATATATTTACTATTGCTGTAGTGCATATTAAGACTACAAACAGACTTGTGTTTTTCAAGTGTCTGGACAAAGCTGTAGGGCTCCAATGTTTTTTTAAAGAAAACCTTAAGCACAGGGATGAAGAATTTTTAAGCCTCTAGCTAATCAAGGACCAAAACCTTCCCATATTTTTAACCAAATAAATCAAGTCATGAAAGGTTCAGATCTCTAATGTTTGTAAGGATGATAGGGTCCATGCAATGCTTTCCCTCTTGAAGTTATAACCTGGTGTGAAAATGAACCTCTGGCTCAACAGCCTTAATCAAAAATAAATAATTATTCATTAGCATTCTATGGTTTTGAATCCAGAATCAAGGTAACACTGATTCTATTTGAAGGTCTGATTTCAATCCCCATCTAATTTCACCAAAATATCCTTTGGCCTGAAAATTCTTACATTTAGGCTAAACACATTTTTGGTGAACTTTGAAGCAAAGTTGTCAATCTACTTTCAGTCACTGAACATTCACTACCTTGCATCCTTTACTTACTGCAAGAGATGAGACAAAATGGCTATTTAAGACTGCAAACTTTAATTTGGGCCACTTCACTTGTGCATAGATCAAGGATAGAATGATGACTCAAAGCTGTTATCTTCAACTATATTAAACTTGGTACCCACAAGGAGTCCAGACTGATCTAGACAAAACCTGTTTCAATAGTATTTACTGTGTAGTGCAGATCCTCCATCCAAAGTAACAAGGATGATTACTTTTTTTTTATAAAATGGAGAAGCAGTACATTAATGCCACTTGATAAGAGTTGTGAATAGAGCTCAGCTGCAATTTAAGTCCCATGCTCTACCCATGAAATAATACTGTCTTACACTTGCTTCTATAGAGGACCTTTTTAACCAGAACAGTAGTAAGATCAAGGCAAAATAAAAACAATTACTTACAGTCTGGTCCTTCCAAATTGAGATATGGTATGTCCATTACCCTCATAAGAAATAACCTGAGGCAAAAAGGAGAAGTGTCACTAGCAAACTTATGCCATACAGCTCTCTTTAAGAGGCTATTATAAAACTTAACAACACACTGCTTCTCTAAGGTAGCCAGGAGCAGTACTAGTCACCCTAAGCAATGGAAAGCTTCAGTCCCACTAATAATTTAAAAATCGAAAGATGTAGGGAGTATCCCATCAGCTATCTCACTCCATGCTGTGCAATTATTTTAAAGTAAATGTTAGTTATCTTACCGACTTGCTCTAAAACCGATATGCCTAGTGTTAAGCAACAGAGAATCCTGTGGCACCTTTAAGACTAACAGATGTATTGGAGCATAAGCTTTCTATTACATGCGTCTGTCAAAGTGGGTATTCACCCACGAAAGCTTATGCTCCAATACATGTTAGTCTTAAAGGTGCCACAGGACTCTGTTGCTTTTTTACAGATCCAGACTAACACGGCTACCCCTCTGATACATGCCTAGTGTTATTAAAATAGGAAAGAAAATGTGAAAAGTACACACAAATTTCAGAATAATCCAGTAATTTATTGGTAGTGCATAAAAGCCGTTAAGTAATTAAAAATTGATTACAGTGTGGAAGGAGTCAAGAAGCACTAGCTTAAATATGTTGGAGAGGGGGGCCATAGGAGTCAGCTGTTAATGTATTGTAGCTCTGTCTCTTCCTCCTCTACCCACAACTTCCCCACCACCCTCTGTCCCTATCAACATTGAATGGAACTGGAGAGCTTAAAAACTGATAGCCAATAATATTTTAATGGAGAACAATGAGAGATCTGGCCAAATAAAAGCTGCCCCCTCTAAACTATGAAAACTACAGGCATGTCTACACTACAGAGGCACAGCTATGGTGCTGGAGGTCTATAGTGTAAACACTTGCTACAGTGATTAAAGGGGTTTTTCCATTGAAGTAGTTAATCCACCCTCTTTGAGAGGCAGCAGCTGGTCAATAGAAGAATTCTTCAGTCGACCTAGCAGCATCTACACCAGGGCTTAGGTCTGCTTACCTACGTCTCTCAGATGGTGAGAAAAAAATCACAATGAGCAATGTACATAGGTCATCCTAAGTTGTAGGTGTAGATCAGGCCTATGTAATGGAAAGTAAGTTTTTCATAATTTTGATTCATATTTAAATAGTGCCTCTCTTTATGATCTATCTGGTTAAAATTGTTAGCTTCAGCATGCAGTAAGCCAGAAAACAGAACAGGATGACCTGAATGGTTTTTAATTTGATAAAAATCCATGCCACTCCACATTAGAAGCACCAGTCTCTATCTGCATAACAGTTTACTAAATAAGAGGGGTATATGCTGCACACACAAATAACCATTCTGTTAAGAGAGAAGCCAAGTGATGCTTGAGATTATAAATGGAATGCATTCTGTCACATTTACTGTCCAGGAGCTCTGAACATCTGAACTAAACATCTACAAGCTATTTTGTTTCTTTCACTAATGAGATGTCCATCGGTATGGCTGGACTTTTTTTATTAAAATTAATTAAAAAAAAAAAAAAAAAAAAAAAAAACAACACACCACGGGAATTTCAGAAAGTGTTAAAACAAGAAGAATTCTCAGACTGATATCAAATTGGTGCTATGTTATTCCAAGGTCACTAGCCCCAG